TTTTTTTTTTGTCGCCTTCAACTTATTTTTTGATCAATTTTTCATTCTTTGGAATTCATGTCACAGATGAAGAAAAAGGAGGAAAGATAAAACGTTCAAGGAAAAAAGGAGAGAGAAAGAAAAAAGAGAAAAGAGGATGAGAAAAGAGAAGTAGGAGATAAAGAAGAGAGAGAAAAATAGGAGAGAGAAAGAAGAAAGACAAAAGAGGATAAGAAAAAAGAAGTAGGAGAGAAAAAGCAAAAGAGCGATATTTATAATTGTAGCAGTTACTAATTATTTTATATTTTTTTTTTTTGGGCTTAATTGTGTCTTATTTCAAGTATATTTGGAATTGTGTATGGCTAGTATCTGTTGCGGAATATTTTTCTTAATGAGGGACAGTTATGAAATTTCCCCATTTAATCCATTGGTATGTACCCACAGGCCCAAAGCTACAACAGGCGGCCCACAACAACTTCCTTAGCCCAAATCCAATCTGTCACTCAATCTTAAGAGTTCCATAGAGCAGGGCCAGCAGAGATAGACACATCTCACACGCAGCGCACATAATCACACAGACACACTCCATCTCCAATCTTCGACGTCGACGCTCTGAAGTCTAAAATCCCAAATCGCCGCGCTCTGAAGTCTGAATCCCAAATCGCCTCGCTCGCTCGCTCGCTCCTGCTCCCGCACACTCCACCCGGCAGGCCGTTACTCGACGGCGACGCTCGTCTTCTCAAATGAGTTCGCCACCCAAATCCCCTCGCTGCACCTCAAGTTCGTAATTTTCTTTTCTGACTTTGAATCGTACGGGCTGCACCCACCACTTCAAGCTCGTTTTTTTTTTTTTTTTGCTGCGATATGAAGTCCGAATTTTGCTTCTGTTACCAAATTGTTGCTGTGATATGAGTCCAATTTTTTTTTTTCCTTTTGTTTTGGTAAAATTATTAAGTAGTATTTTATTGTTATTTGTAAATATTATTTTTGTCATTTCTCCATTTTATTGGATAACGGAAAACCGAACTGAAAAAACCAATAAATTTTCGGTTATCAACCGAACCGAACCATAGTTTTCGGTTCGGTTCTCGGTTTCAATACTAGCGGTTCGGTTTTGACCGATTGTACCCCTAGCTAAAGGGGGAAGGAAACCGAAGGACAAACACAAACCAGCTCCCAAACCGAAGGACAAACCAGCTCCGAGAATTATGCCAACTTAGACCATCTACTTGCTTATTATATCATAGTATTCAGGCGTTTAATGTTCGATTTTGCCATCATTTAACTGATTTCCAGGTCTGTCTATTTTTATCTCGCTCATTTACAAGTGCACATTAGAGTGTTTGGAATGTGTTCGATGAAATGCCTCACTGTGTTGGTACTATTTTTCCCAAATTCCCGGCTGCAAATTGATTCTATACGGGCGCTGAACGTACACTGATGTTGTTTATTCTGTGTTTTTGGTACAACAGTTTAGGAAGGAGATTTCTTTTCTGATTGAATTGGAGTTATAGTCCCGGAAAAAGTTCATCATGTTTGCAACCGCTATCAGATATATAGCGAGGAAACCAAAGCCGAAGATGAAACCAATAGAACTCAAAACTCCTCCCGAGCAAACACAGACAATCACAAGAACTATTTTTAACATCTTAAAGGAACATGGCCCACTAACCGTTGCCGACACCTGGGAGCATGTTAAGGTATACATTTTCTCGCACTTGTTGGTGGTTTCACTGTTTACAGACCTCATTTGTGTAGATAGGTTAACTAATATAGGTCCTTTTCAGTTGAGGGATTGGATTTGCATTCATGTGGAACAGCTTAGATGTTATGAGATTTCGTTGAGATTATCAATCTTAAGTTGTTCTCTTTTGATAATAACCTCTAGGATATATTGTTACTTGCTCCTTTGTCACTTTCTTGAAGCATCTGTATGACTTTTACTATCATTTATGGATCTCTATATTAAATGGAACCTGAAACAATATATGAGGCTAACATGTCAAACCAAGTTCCAGAAGCATGATTTGTTTCAAACGCATTTCCATAAATATCATCCATTTTTTCTGGCTTGTAATCAATTTCACGATGATTCTTTCATGATGTGCATGTGAAACTAATAAGTGGCTTTCACATATCAATGTTAAGACCTCGGGGTAGACATTTCTAGCCATCCACAGAGTGTTGTGGGATATAGAAATTTTACACATTTTGAATGGGATATTTTTGCATTTCATGAGTTACATATCCATCTATTAAGTATCAACACAGTAACCATGATATGAATTGTCCCCAGAGCAAATCTCTCTCTACAGTTCCCTGATTAACTTTTGGTTTCAATTATTTGCTTACGTTTGCAATGTTTTGTGCAGATGACAAACATAGTATTACCCTTAAGGTTTAACTTGTAATTGATATATCATGTTGCTATGTCCACCCAAAGTTTTTAATTGCCCTTTCTTCTTAGTCCCCAGCTAGAGATTCATTTCTTGGCTGACTCTGTGACTCGTAACCTTTGATGTTACACTAGGGATATGTTTAGTAACCAAATAAGCTAGTTAAATTATAAACTTCCTGTATTCAAATAAGCTACGTTTGGTAGGACGAACTTTTTTAAAAAGCTCGAGCTTATCTCATAAGCTTCTTTGGGTAGCTTTTCAAATAAGCTCGTTGAAATTTTTATTTCAACTTATTTTACCAAACACTTTTATCATATAATCTAGCTTTTCAGCTATAAACTCGAAAATTACTTATAAGCTATAAGCTAGCTTATTAGCTAGTTTTACCAAACATAGCCTAAGAGCAGAACTTTTATCTCGTGTTTGTATTGTTCTTGCTGCTCTTGTACCTTTTCCTAACATTGAAGTCTCGTTTGCTTATTTCACAAATTATGTGAGCATTTTGTTTTTGGTTTCACTTGACTCAACCATGATAAGATGGCTAATGAAACTTTTTCCCCACGATCAGGATGTCGGGTTGAAAGGACTCACGAGCAAGCGGCACATGAAAATAGTAATGAGATGGATGCGGGAGAGGCAAAAATTACGGCAAATATGCAACCATGTGGGGCCCAACAAGCAATTTTTGTACGCTACATGGTTCACAAAACCTGATGTCAAGCAAACAAGGCCCGGAACTGGACATGGACCAAATGCTTCAACTCCAAAGTCATGAGCAATTGGCAATGTGTGTGGCCAAGTGAGTTGTTCAATGTTTCTTTTT